AGAGTGTAACGAAGGTGTCACGCGCTGGGAAGGAGCTTGGGAAAGGGAGGTCACTCTTATTTCAAACGGGAGCTAACTCCGTTGTTTTCGTATTTGCGAGAAATGGCGTCAATCACGTTGTACGCTGTTGGTCCAGGTATTAAATGCCCAGCTTATCTCTAAGGTAAAACGTATTCTTAATTAAATGTTTGAATGCATTATATATTTATGTGTCCATCCGTACATCTTCTAAAAGTTCTTAGATAGGTTTAGTGCTGATAACCATTGGGTAGACTGCAGTATTTGGGTCCCCACTTCGGAAGGAACGTTTTTACGTGTTTACGGAAGCTGTCGATTGAAAAACGTTCCACGCATGCGCAGTTCGTTATTTACGGTCGAAGCGAGAGGATTTGTTGGCCGCCATTTTTCTCCCGAACGCTGTCTGCAGTTCAGTATTTTCTTACACAGACAACACACGGGGGGTGCAAGGGTGGTTTGTCCCCCCTTGTCGAAATATTAAAGTAAAAATGGGGGGTAAAGGGGGGTTACACCCCCCTTTTTTCAAATAAATCGCACGACGGTAAGTTCATTCTGTTACTTGAACAATATATTTTGTTCGGCGGACAACACAGCGGGGTTCAAGGCAGGTACAACCCCACCTTTATGACATTTTTAAAGAAAAATACGGGGGTAAAGGGGGAGGATCCCCCTTTTTCAAATATATCGCAATATGGTATAACTTCATTCATGAAAGCATGTGAATTTTCATAGGAAAATGATCATCGATAGATACTTTCTCATTCAAACAAATCATTTGAAACGCTGAATTCGTTTTGACTGTCATATAGATTCTAGGACCTAAGTCTGTGGATCCATCTAGACCTAGTTCAATTTCTTTTTCTGCTTCTTTTTCATCTTTTTCTTAAACGATCATTTTGCTTCCTAAGTTTAATAAATGTAAACACGGCCGGTGAACTTAGAAACTGATCAATTGAACAACTGAAATATTTCTTTTCTGATAATGTTTTAAACAAAATAGTTGTCATACATTCCCGCATTCGCCCCATACCTATGCAAAGATATCTTCACTGTACGCCAAGTCGACTCTGTTTTATTTGTTCAAGCCACACTTTATGAATTTACAAGTTATGAGCGAAGTTGCTTGCGTAGTAACGAGTCCATATAAGGAAAGTCACATGATCAGACACGTGACGTCTTACCTCATTTATGTCCCGCCCACAAACAACAAGAAGTTGACAGTACAATAATTCGGCTTCACTTTCTATCGTAAAACTCTCGATCCCCACAGGGGCGAAGTTTTAGACCATACATTTCACGTCCAGCTCATTTTTGGGGTCCTTTTTGCTAAAAAATGCCTCCTAACGGATTTCGGCACGCTTGCCCGTGCGCGCTTATATAAGCGAAGCTGCCTTCGGCAGCTTCCGTACTGAAACTGCCGAAGGCAGTGGTTGCCTTACGGAAACCCCCGAAGTGGGGACCCAAATACTGCAGTTGACCCCTGATGACAACAGGAGGGACCACATTTATTAATCGCGAAATTCTACTTAAATATTGATAATCATTTTCTCAAATGTGGGCCCACATTGTTCCCGTCATATATGGTGATCGAAACAAATGGACCCACATTTGTATATCGCCTAGGGGGTAGACGTTCTTCCGGCATAGTTATTGTAACAGGAGGGACCACATTTATAAATCGCTACGCTTCATTAGCTTGGCTTACTTATAACCATTTTCTAAAATGTGGGCCCAGATTGTTCCCGTCTTATAGTGATCGAAACAGGTGGGCCCACATTTGTAAATCGCTGGGCTTCATTGGGTTGACTAAGTCATTTAGGCTAGTGGGTCTCACATTTGTCATTTTTTTGCATGGGTGTGTGACATTACATATTATTCACATTTTGTAATATTGATGGGAAATATCTTTATAAATTATTTAGTGTGACGTTAATTCCACGAAAGGCACACAAAGTCTTTGAAGTTTGAATAACGACATCATAGCTGACCACACTAGTTTTGCAAAAATAGTTACAAAGCAAGAAACTTAGATCTAGATCTTATTCAAATATCATTTACAGAGGCAATACCACTCATTCTACTTTTGCCAGTATAACACATCAATCTAATTATAAGTTTTGGTGGCGATATAAGCCTGAAAATATGTCTACACTTGAATTGATCTCGGACATGATACAAGCCTCAAACTTGTTCCATAAAATATAACTCATGAATATTAATGACCCCACGACCTAGTTTGGCGATGTTCGTACAAGTGAATTCTGCTGTATTGTCATCACATTTGTACATTCTAATCCAATTATAAGTCATAATACTTATTTTAAATAGACGAAATAGCAGTTCGTAATGCAGGTTTGTTTACGTAGTACATATTCTCAACAACAAGTGCGTTTAGGTTCGAATGTAGGCCCACCTCGAACTTTCGATTTCGCCAGACAGTTTAATATTAGTTTAAATTTTGCTCTTTAAAAAAAGCTGTGGAAGGGAACTTAATACCATGTTTCTCGATGTAGATATTTCTGTTATAGATTCAAGAATAAATTCATGAATGAACACTCACTCAATCGATTCACGTAACTAAAACCAAATTATTTATCCTTGAACATTTAAATAAACCACTGCATTTATTTGCGCTGAAAATGTATCCCATAGGCTTTGGAAAGATATTTATTTTGTTAAATTAAGATTTACACGTGTCTTTGTGGAATAGCTGGTTCTTTCAACACCCATTAGATTTAGTGAGTTAGTGAGTATTGTTTTACGCCGCTTTGAGCAAGTTTCCAGGGGAACATCAGAATTGGGCTTCACACATTGTACCCATGTCGGGAATCGAACCCGGGTCTTCGGCGTGACGAGCGAACGCTTTAACCACTAGGCTACCTGATCGCCCTCAACTCCCATTAGACATATACATCAGAAAAAAACATTGAAGGCGCTAATTACCGTATAATAAAAGACATAATACCCAATAATTTGACAAAGTACTTTTTACAATAAATATTCAATTTAATTTTTGGTGATAGCTTTGGTAATGACATCATATATTTTTGATATGCTGACAAGAGAATATTTACTACCGTGGTTTTAGGTCGGTTCATTTTCTAGATCATTGACTGATTTTCGTAAAAGGCGACGATGCTTATCGTAAGAGACGACTAACGGGTGGTCAGACTCGTTGTCTGAACAAATGGTTTGTTGTATCATAGTTTGAAGACTGATTAATCTGTAAAGTTACATAATCCTTATCAATATAATTCCCATTGGGTTTCTACCCATGGAATTCAGCAACCAGTGCTTTTAGTAGGTGGTCACTAGCGGGGTCGGGTGGTCAGGCTCGCTGACTTGGTTGATGTCATTGTATCCCTATTGTGTAGATGGATATGGTTGATTTCATTAACTGGGTTGTCTGGTCCAGACTCGATTATTTACAGGCCACCCTCATATAGCTGGAACAATGCTGAGTGCAGTGTTAAACGAAAAACTATTTGTTTTCGGTTATTAAAAGATTTATCACGATGTTTAGTTTCTTTTGCATTTGAGTATATCTGATGTTGGTACTTCAACACCATGGAGGGGAGAAGACGTGAAACGGGGTTTAACGTTGCTCCCAAGATAACTGCACTTAATATATAGCGACGTGCATGGATCTACCGGTACTTTTCGTAGGCTGGTCACTAGCGGGGTCGGGTGGTCAGGCTGGCTGACTTGGTAAATGCATGTCACCCTATCCCCATTGTGTGGATCAATGCTCATGATATCAATCACTGGGTTGTCTGGTCCAGACTCGATTAAGGCCGTAGTTAACTTTTTTTGACAGGGGGGGGGGGGGGGGGGGGGGCAAGTATTTGTACAAGTATCACTTGTCCCCAACTTGATTCAAATAAAACAGTTTTCTATAAACAATCTAGGGGGGGAACTGCCCTCCCTGCATCCCCGGCTGGCTACGGCACTGTACACAGTATACTGACTCCGAGCCGACCAGTACGAAAAGTACTGGTTGGTCCATGCACGTCGCTGTATAAGTGTATAAGTGATTTCATTGGTTAAAATTAGAATACTTTCTGTTAGACGGGACTTGACCCTCGGACAGTGGCTAGGCAGGTTGGCCCTCTGACGCCTTTTATATGCTGCCTGGCCATGTATGTCCCATTACCACAATCGTGATTATACAGATGCTGTAATTATTATATCACAAATAAAGTGTTGTGGACCCACGGATGGACTCCTGTGTTTGAAGGACAGATATCCCAAACTTAACAGCCCGGGATACTGACACTGGGAGATTTCCCGGATTTGCTGCCAGGAATATATCCCTTCTGACAATCTGGGTAAGCAGAAGGCAGCAGTTTGGGGGAGTCTTCACATTCTGGATTCTGTGTTAGAATACATTGTATACTAGTCGATTCTATGCTGGCTCGGTTGATTCCGTGCAATATCGGCGTTGATTGTTGCTTACAATATCGATTACTGGTTTATCTGATCCAAACTCGATGATATCATACAGCTGGAATAGTGTGGCGTTAAACAACTAACATACAATCAAACAAATTAACTATTGTTATCATATAACCCATGAAGATCCGGGATAGAATATGTCTTCAGTAAACCATGCTTGCCGTTAAAGGCGACTATGCTTGTCGTAAGAGGTGACTAACGGAATCGAGTGGTCTGGCTCGCTGACTTGGTTGATGCATGTCAGTTTTTATCGCGTAGACCGGTGCTCATGATGTCAATCACTGGAATGTCTGGTCCAGACTCGATTATTTACAGACCGCCATCATATAGCTTGGATATTGCTGAGTGCAGCATTGAACAACAATCAACATCAACAACAAAACATATAGTTAAAACGTCCCAGGTAATCGCCATTCGTTGTATCCAATAAGACTTAGGGAACAATGAAGGTCTTCTTTGTCTTTTACCGGGAAAGATCGGTTTAGTCTGACTACAGTCACTCATAGTCTTCATTTGTCTTTTCGCAGATATCAAGGTGTCACGGACAACGTTCCATCGGAATGAACGTTAAACGCTTCATCATCATCGGCATCCTTTCGCTGGTACTACTGGTCATCATGGTCACTCAGCTGTCGACATTCGGAACAAACCCGCACAGACAACACAAACTCGAAACATCAACTACGATTCAACCACTAATTCAACAACCAGTCATTGTTGCAACAAAATGGCCACCGTTGTACTTTGACCCGAATAATTTCTATGGAGATAGGCGCCTACTTCAATATAAGAGTCATTTTGTGCCCAAAGAAAAGAGAGTAACTCCACTAGACTTTAAATTCCTGATTCCAGGTGAAAAAGTATGTGCCGGCAAAGGAGGACCGACATTGCTGGTGATGGTGATGTCACTTCCGGACAACTCCGCAGAGCGTCAAGCTATCCGTGACACGTGGGGTTGTCTTGCATCCGGACACCCGTGGCCGGGCGGCGAAACCATTAATGGGACGATGAAGGTCATCTTCGTTTTTGGAAACACAGGGAACAAAAACCACAACAAACTGTTACGGTCAGAATCAATAATAAAGGGCGACATAGTACAAAGTGATTTTAAAGAATCCTACGTTCATTTGACTTATAAAGTGTTGATGGGTTACAAATGGGCTCAGCAATACTGCCCTGGCACCAAGTTCATCATGAAGGTAGATGAGGATACGTTTTTCCACGTTCCTTTTGTATTCAGTCTTTTTGAGAAACAGAGCTGGAATAATACAATATATGGACCATTTTTCAAAGTAGACAATGTATCTCGGGCTAAAAAGTTCCGGGTGGAACCAGCCGCCTACGCTCCCCCTCTGTATCCGCCCCACGTAAAGGGCAACCTTTATTTTATGCCTTCGGAACTTGCCTTTAAGATAGCCAAGGTGGCGGAATACATGCCGTATGTGAACATTGAAGATGCATACATTACCGGCGTCTTAGCCAAAATATTTGATGCCAGACATGTGGGTATTGATAAATTAGTGTACCATTTACGGAAACCAGCTAAAGCTTGTGATATTGCATCTAAAAAGAAAATGATTTCACAACAAATAACTGCGAGTGTATTCTACTTGATATGGGATCGTATCCGATTCAAAGAATTGTGCACAAATGGGCCATTCATATGAGTCATCTTTGGTGCGGAAAACGATAAACGTGTTATTAACACTGCCTTACTGCTGTTAATGGCCATCAAGGAAACAGGTGTTGGTACTTTGCAAGGACAAGAACAAAAGAACAAGAACCGTGTTACCATTTGTGTCTAAGCAATATTATATGGCCCGATTCTGGTCTCGTTGCCATGGTTTCGTATCCCCCCAAGAAAAAAACAAACAAAAACAACAACAAACTAAAACAACAAAAACAAACCAAACAAAAACAAAACACAACAAAAACAACAACAAAAATAAAGTACCCGGGATCGCTAGAGTTGTGTCTGTGCATGATTATATATCCTATAAATCTAGTCTCGTTGTCATAGTTTCTTTTGGTTTAGCTCTATTGGCCGATAGCCTTATATTGGTGAAGGTTTCATGTTGACATGCCTGCACTTCTGGTGTTTCCATGTTACGATCATCCTCGATTATCCAGTGTATCTTATCTACATTCTGTGATGATATGTCAGCGAATCTTTTTGTCGTTTGAGTTCGTTTTCGTGGTGCAGTAGTCATGCTAATTTGAAGGCTTCGAACCCTTGTACCTCGAATTGAGATACCTCGAGGCTGATTAGCACGTTCACCTGACGCGATCTCCTATGGAGGTGTTCTCAGATCTCGCAGAGGTATCGGAGTGAGTGAGTAATTGGGTAGGAGGTTGCAATTGAGTGGTTGACTGAGTGAGGTTAAACGCCGCGTTGAGCAGTTATGTGATGGTGTGTCGGCTTATTGTGGGAGGATAGCCCGAAGTAATGCAGGTCTTAGACGTTTACATTATTGAAAACCGCGAGCACTAGTATGGTGATGCCAAACCAATGATCATTATCAGAGCGTATCTGGAATTCGAACCCGACCATAGGATCCAGGCACGCTGAAGGGACGAAACTCTGCACAACGATTTGCATACTTTGTACTACTGAACTAAACGAGCCCTTTAACAGGAGGTCTGTACAGTTAGCCTTCGTTGTTCTCAAAATTCTAGCTTGATGTCTGACATAAATCAGTGGGGTTTCTCAGTCAAAACTATGTGGTGATATATTGTGATACCAGCGGATTCATTGCCATACTTCTTTGGATCGTTACGATGGGTCGAACAAAACCGTATTATTATATTAGTTACATAACTTTAACATCCCATCAACTGACTTGGTTGAAGCATGTCATCAATCCCAAATGCGTGGATCGATGCTCATGATATTAATCACTGGATTGTCTGGTCCAGACTTGATTATTTACAGACGTCCGTCATATAGCTGGAATATTGCTGAGTGCGGCGTAAAACCAACCAACCAACCCGACAAACCCGATTTTCATCAGTGGCGCAGCGCTGTCTCAAGTGAAAAGGTCGCCTTTGTCAGGGCCAAGAAATTTAGATCAGCATGTTATGTTATCAGCATTAACTGTTATATCTATTAATATGTATTTTCGTAGTGATATTTCTAATAATAGTAATACTTCTCAGTATTCATTGCATTTTTATGTCAAGTCAATGAGCCATTTAGCACGATTTATCAAAGAATCTCGGCCCTGTACAAACACGTACCTAATCTGGGATTCGAAACCATGAATCGTCATAGCTGGGGGCACATCTGTGTATAGCGAAAAAAACACCGTCAACAGATTTTGTTTTGTATACTAATCGAAAAAAAGTAAACTGTGCTTCATATAAAGTGGTGTAAATATGATGATATTGAAAACAACAACATAATATTTGGTCATTCGTCTAATCAATATTTCACATTCATTGACAAAACCCATACATGGTACCAGAGACAGAGCGACACGCTCTTTTAAAAAGAGGTGTGGTGCATTAACTAAATGAACAAGGTCAATATATCGGGTGTGACCACCATTTGCGTCAATACAGGTGAGGCATCGGCAACGCACTTGAAGGCACCAGATTATTGAAAACAGCCTGGGGGATGTCCCAAATGTCAACCAAAGATTGGCCCAACTGAGCTTGCGTTGCCGACTCGTTTTGGTCCTGTCGTATGCGTTGTTGCATCTCATCACATACATGTTCTATGAGGGAAAGGTCTAAAGAAACAGCAGACCATGGTAGTAGGGCAATGTTATGCTGCCTCAAAAAGTCTGTCACAATACATGCAACATGAAGAACATGATCTCGAACAATGTTGTCACGGTAGCTTGCGCCATTCACACTGCCATTAACAATGATAAGTTGTGTTCCCCCCATGAATTGGGTATCTACCCGAGGCAAGGAAGTTAACTAACAGTAAAAGTCCAGTTTCCACACTTGTCGAACTAGTCTGGAATTCCGGAGTTACATTTTGGCTGGAATAACGAGTCTATACAATGTCCAGTCAAATCGCGTAACGAACAGGACATCTGCTTTGTAAACAACATGGATTTCAACGTGCAGATTTCGATCAACTGCAGGATTTGCAAAGCATGTGTACAGCCAACTGGTCGTCGACAGATATTTTGCAAATACTTTCATGTTTTTGATCAAGCTGCTCAAGTGATTTGATGCACGTCGCGGAGTAAGACCCGTTTTATTACAATGTTGATCTTGATTAACGATCAGATCGACTTCACTGGGCGCTGCCATTTTGTTTGAAGCAAATGCAAATCTCGTTATATGAGCGATAGAATCTGATTGGTCAAAAGGAGGGTCATAGAAGGGACAAAACTCGTAATAACCACTGACATGCCAGCGTAGTTTGGCTAGGGTGAAAACTGGTCTTTTAAAGTCAGTTAACCTCCTGACTCGGGAAGATGTGAGTTGTGATCCGACCCCATACCATTAAACTTCCACCCCCTAACTGACGACGTTGAGTAACGCAAACATCGCTAAAACGACCTCCTGTACGCATGTAGGCCCTTGCACGACCATCACGGCTGCCAAGGTGACTCACGTATGAGCAGTATACTGTCCGGGTCTTCTGAACTTCAGATGCTGTCTACACCAAGCTCATCTTCCCGAGGCAAGAGAGTAAACTGACTTCAAAAGTTCAGTTTCCACCCTCGCCGAACTAGGCTGGAATTCCTGGGCTCGATCGTAGCGCCACCAGTGGCTATTGCGAGTTTTGTCCCTTCTAAGCCTTTCCTATGGACCAATCAGATTCCACCTCTAGTATCACTTGCATTTGCCTCAAACAAAACAGCGGCGCCCAGTCAAGACGATCTGATAGATAATCAAGGTCTACATTGTGATAAAACGGGTCTTACATCGGGAAGTGCATTAAACCACGTGAGCAGTTTGATTTAAAACATGAAAAGATTTGGAAAATATCTGTTCACAAGACGTTGGCGGTGCACGTTTGGCAAATCCTGCAATCGACCGAAATCTGTACGACAGTTTACGAACCGGATTTGGATTTCGTTGTGCGATTTTGATTGGACTATGTATAAACTCGTGAGTCCAGCCTAAATGTAACTCCATAATACCAGCCTAGTTCGGCAAGGGTGGAAACTGGACTTTTATAGTCGGTTAACTGTCTTGTCTCGGGAAGATGCACCAAGCTAGGCGTGCTTGACGTGAAAGCAAAATTGGGCGAATCGCTTGATGTTGTGTATCGTTGAGCCACTAATTGGTCTCAACCCAGGAACTGCCGGGGCAGTTTGGTATCGATTCCGTAGATGCACTAACCGAATATGGTTGAACATCAAAATGTTTGGCAATTTCGTTTGGCGCCATTCCTGTTTGCAGCATATCTACGACGCGTAGACGTTATATTTTGAGCAAGCCGTGACATTGCGAAAGCGTTATTTGCGGTTAAAACACGGTGTTTTAATGATCACATGAACACAGTCATTGTGTGCTGTTCACATTAAACGTGTGTAAGCATCATGCTCCCAATATGCACGCAAACATGCAAATTGTGCACCATGGATGAACATGCACTTGCAATTTGTGAATCACGACCTTAAAGTCGAGGAGATATCTTTGTGAAGATGTAATGAAAGACGCATTATTTTATTTCTGAATTAATTTATTTTTATTCAACTAAGCATAGAATTAGTAAGCAATTAAGCATGATTACTTTTTTATATTAATCACTTCTTAAGAAACATACTGAATACATATATCATTCTTTGTGGCCGAGTGATAATAACATAAAAGCGACAAAACCATTTCCATGGTTATAAGAAATCTCCGCTTAAAGCAGGGTTGATCGTACGATTAGACTGCATGATGACCATGTGTTAATGAATCACTAGCATATAGTGTCTCAGGTATTGAAAGATGCATTGTTTAATTTCAGAATAAATATATTTGTATTGAACTTCATATTTATAAAGCACGGTACATTTTTCCATTTAAACAGATAACGATCAATGTCCATCACAACACTGATAATTTCATGATGATTTTAATATTTTATGTCCGCATCTTTTTTTTTTTGGAATGCGAAAGTTCTTGTGAAATTAAGAGTTTTGTCTTTGTTGTTTAATAACTCAGCAATTTGACGGCGGTCTCTAAATAATCGAGTCTGGACTAGACAGCCCAGTGATTGATATTATGTGAGACGTCCAACGCTTTTGGGGTATTTTCAGTGAAGTCCTATGTCTACATACATATCCGTACATATCCAAACAGTCGATAACAAATAGTTCTATTGCATGGTATTCTGCGATATTTCAAAAGCGTTTGATAGAGTATGGCACAGTTGGCTTAGGTATAAATTGTTATGTTATGGTATAAACATGAATTATTAGACTGGCTAGCTGATTACGTAACAGCTCTTGGCTCTTTCTTGTTCCTTGTGTACATCAATGATATTACTGATAAATTGAACTGTGCAACAAGATTGTTTGCCGATGACACATCCCTGGGCTAATAACATTGAATTTATAGAAACTTCTATGAATAGCAATTTAAACAAAATTAATGAATGGGCTCAAGGCTGGTTAATTTTATATGATCCGAGCACAACAAAATCAATTCTTGTTTCCACAAAAGAGCCGCAGAGAACTTTGAAATTATTTTTGGATAATGAAAACATTGTAAATGTTAAAACACACAAACACCTGGGTGTTAGTTATATTGTCGTCATCGTGAAGTATTCTTGGCATATTGATTTAATTATTAAAACATCATAGATGATTCATTCAATGTGAAAGTTAAGTATATGCTCTGTCGTAGTGTGTTGAATCAGATTATGTAATGTTTATTAGATCACATTTTTTTAAGTTTGGGACGGTTGAACCAGAGAGCAGAGTGACAGATTAGAAAAACTCCAACTTGAAGCAGCCAGAATTGTAACTGGTTTACCAACCTATACTTCCGTCAAAAATGTATATTTCGAAACTTCCTGGAGCCCTTATCAGAGCGCAGGAGAAAACGTAAATTGTGTTTATTTTATAAAATATATAACAATATGACACCTTCATACCTTAAAGATCTAGTACCTCACTCTGTAGGGACAAACGTAACATACAACCTTAGAACTGCTCACAACATAACTACGTCTCTATTACGTACTAAGTTATCTGAATCCTCGTTTATACCATCCACTATCAAATTGTGGAATACATTACCTATTCAGCAAAGGAATATTGAAACATTCCCTCGATTTAAATCCAGTTTAAGAACAGATAGATCTACAGTTCCATCAAATTTTTCATATGGTCTAAGGAAAATTAACATAATACATACAAAATTAAGATATGATGACAGTGAATTAAAAAGTGACGTATTTTATAGAAAAGGTTTAAACGAGGATCCAAAATGTGGCAGCCCGTGTAAATATTCATATCATTTTTTCATTGAATGTCCTTTATTTAAATCAGCTAGAAACTAATTGATGCACTCATTATTGTTAATCGTGAAAGATACCTGTGATGTAGTATTGACCTGATGCTAGTTGGCAATGCAGTTTTACCTAATCATGTGAACGAAAGCATTTTTAGGAATGTCCATACATATATTAAGAAAACAAAAAGGTTTGAGTGAGCATTGTGAATGTACATACGTTTCTCTATTTCTTTTCTTTCCGTTCTATCATTTAATTTATTAACTGTAAATAAGCATACATGTAAAGTTACGGGAGAGGGCGTTCTAAGTTGTGATAACTTGTGCCCAATCCTTTTCATGAGAATAAAATATGTTTAAAAACTATGGCGGTGTCCCTAAATAATCGAGTCTGGACCAAACAATCTCGTGATTGATATTGTGAGCAACGATCCACGCTGTCAGGGTACGATGACATGCATCAACCAAGTCACCTAACCCGACCATCCGAGCCATTAAGAATGGGCTCCGCGGTTTGCTCTTGATTTAACATGTCATCCATCAGTTTCATAAGGAGGCAATCTGAACACAGTCACATACGGAAATTTAAACACATGGTTTTCAAGTAAGTTTACGGGGAAGTATTATTTGGATTTAAATTTTAATTTATGAAAACTAAATGTATGTATGAGAAAATAGTCCAAATGGTTCCTCGAAAATGTCCCAAAACTACACTGACACAGCACACACGTACACGTTCTTGTTATAAAATGTGTGTTTGTTGTTTAACGCCGCACTCGGTAATATCCCAGCTATATGACGGCGGTCTGTAAATAATCGAGTCTGGACCAGACACTCCAGTGATTAACGTCATGAGCACCGATCCACGCAATTGGAATACGATGACATGCATTAACCAAGTCAGCGAGCCTGACCTCCCGATCCCGTTGGTCGCCTCTTACGACAAGCATAGTCGCCTTACACGGATTGCTGAAGACCTATTCTAACCCGGATCTTAACGTGTCTTACAAAATGAATACTTAGCAACTGAGCATTGCATCCACCCTATCACCATTTTGATAGACTCCTAAAATAACGATAGGTTTGTTGAAGAGACCGTTTGGCATGGACTACCTGCGAAGCCATCTGTTTTCACAATGATGAATGCAGAAGTCGCAGTGAATAATAATTAAAAACGAATATACAAGACGCAATCTTCAGGCACATTTATCATACAATAAGTTAAGAGAGTTAAGCCAAAATAGTCCAAATGGTTCGTCCGAGAAGTCCTAAAACTAGTAGTTCAAACTTCACTGGCAGAGCAAACAAATCCAAAATCTATCTCTCCATGAAGGAACTCGGGAAAATATATTTCAAACAGGACACAAGGACGGCCGAGCACGACTGGGGCTGCTTGGATTCTTCTTCACCAAGATCTTTCACCACAACTTGAGGACTGGCTCTAGAGGCAGGGGCGAGGAGGGAGGTCTGGGGGTCGGGCTGCGTTAAGCGGGGGTTGACGGGGATCGTGAAGACACTGGGGCGCTTATAAGAGAGGAAATAGATGTCCTTAAATCATTGAAATCATTGCCAGTCGATAGTTTAATGAAATAGCCTGTATGTTAAAAACCTGCAGAAAGTCGACCATTTTCGTCATTCGTATTCTTTTATCTGGATATTTAAACATATAGCAAGACTAACGACTAGAAGAAAAGCGACAAAAACATGTCCATGAACGTAGGAAATCTCTACTTGTAAGATTCCGACTAATCATGAGCATGTTTCTGAATCACTATCTAAGAGTGGTGATACCAAGTGTTGAAGAAAAGGTCATGTATCCCGGTCGGAAGTAATTGTATCATACATTTCAGAATAAAATCTGTGGTTATGTTAGGGAGGGGTAGAATAATGAAAGTCACCTTTCTTGTGTTGTTTGGTGAGTACTGATTATTAGAGGCTACTGACTATTTAGTATATGTACTATTTGTCTGAATAATGTCTAAACAAAGATGACTTGTATCAAACTATTGTTAGTTGCAATGGTTCTCGGATTTCTTTTTCTTTTAGTAATGACCTACAGGATCAGGGACAGGAAGAGACTTTTGGGAGACAGGGGCCTGGGAAGTCCTAAACCTGTGGAGATCGTCGTGAGCTATAACAGAATAAATGAAATATGATACAAAATCACATCGATCCTCATTGTAGAGACCAAAAAGAGACTGAGTTTATTGAAAGAAAAATGCGTGTGGTTTTAAGGAGTCAAAGCCAGTAACTTCGGTTGAGATAAAATGGTCTTTGGACATTTTGGGACATGAAGGACATATATTCTTTATACCCATTTAACAGTCCCTCACCCTTGACACAACACTTAGTTAGGAATTGACATCTGAAAAACTACACTATCAATACTTTGTTATAATTGACAGTTTTTATTCTCAGAAAATCATTTTACAATGAGTAGATCCCATAGCCTAGGTAAGTAAGAGCTAGAACATTAATCATCATTTATTGTTACTTTTATAATTTATCATGATACTTTTACAGTGATAAATATTTTACTATGGGAATTAAACTTGACATTAATAACAGAAATCACATCGCTGAGATAATTAAGTTTCCAAGCCTTTTACAAAAACAAACGAGGCCTAGATCTACATTTCCCACCATACAATATAGATCTAGAAATCCCAAAAATACATAAATATACAAGGGACCGGCAAAGAACATGACAACTCCCATCTGCTAATGAGCCGGTCAGTCATTCTCTTTTAATTTCATTGTTTTCCAAATCATCGGCAAGGTCATCATCAGGTTATGAATACAATCCGTCAAAATGTATTAGCCTAATCTGAGACCTTTGAAATCAAAATAAGACGCAATGATAATTAACCACTGAGACCACTGATAGATACCTTGATGATAAACCAAAGCAACAGTGGCATACATCGTGCAAAACGTGCGGTACGTGCGGGATAAGGAGCAAAATGCAAACACAGACGTGGAAACAAAGTGCAGCAGTAACAACCAAAATGGCGTCGTAAGTGGAAAACGGAAGTAGCAACGGTCTCCATGGAGATCCATCAGCGATCGTCGCCACTCGTTCCTTTCCGTGAACTGCTTGTCCCGGAATGAGCGTTGGTCTCGAAAGAGCCTTCTATGTGCAGTAGAATCTTATATGGCTAGAGATTGCAACATAGTATCAATGTATGAAAAGTGTTATTCTAAACCTCTAGACTAGCCTTTAAAAAGTTTTCATGTTTTTTTTACAGCAAAAACAAACCAGCACAGAACCTTCTTTAAATCGCCGATTATTATCACCGGAAATAATCTAAGTTTAAGATGAACTAACAAACAAAAAGACAACCTTTATAAGGTCGGACGTAGTAATTGACTTATACAGAGTATTTCATCTTATAACCATTGATAAAATGCAATAACATGTATCTCTTAGATAACAGTGTCCTTTAGTAACAAGCTCAACAAGCGGCCAAAATGTAAAATTATATCGATTCGGACAGGAAAAGGGACGATAAACCTGACGTTGGTCCCTGGCTAATGTCCGATGTTGTACCACAAGGGGAGACCACTCCCGTTGTTTTTATGGCGTGATTTATCTTGCTGGTAACCGAGGTTACACGACACGAAGAAGAACTTATCGAAAACCATCTTCGGTGCCCCCAGATAGAACCAGTTCAATGTTGTTTTAAGGGTAATGAGTAACTTCGATCAAAACATAATCTGCACTAATTTCTATCAAATTACTATCCGAAATTAGTCAACACTGTATAAAATCCATATGATCAGTTGTTTTGCTATGATATTATCACCAGGTTATTTTACCTACATGTTTCTACAAAATTCATCAATGCGTCAGTTGCGCAGCCTGGCGAAGCATTTGGGTCTTGAAGACAGACTGTTTTTGACCATTTTAATCATTTTACGATAAGCAGTAAATTATTTATTTACGTTAAGCAGTTATTTTTTGGTATTTTCCGTTAAGCATTTACGATAAAAAAAAGAAGATGAATTTTACGTTTACGATAGTGTTTGAAGGGTGTTTTACGTTAAGCATTAAAACCCGTCAGGGCCCTCATGCATGTCATCGATCCCAAATGCGTAGATCGATGCTCATGATATTAATCACAGGATTGTCTGGTCCAGACTCGATTATTCACAGACCACCGTCAAATAGCTGGAATATTGCTGAGTGCGGCGTTAAACAACAAACCAACCAACCAACCAACCAACTGTAGGGTTCTGATGTCTAGGACAAATGCTTCTTGTATTTCTAACATGAAATGCATCGCTGCTTGTCAATTTCACTGTTGATCCCATGAAAAACATGAGAAACATGAGTTTCTTCACGTGACTGAACGCATTCGTCATTGATCCACTGATCTCCCTTACAACTAAACCCAATACAGTTCATAGTGTTTTAAATATGCCTGTGTTCATGAAATATTTTGGTGATATTATTTTCTTGTAAATATAATTTGACGAACAAAGAATTTGCTTCCGTTTTGATGAATCGTATCAAAAGTTTTATTGTTTATTATTAATAATATGGTCTGAAAATCATAATCAATCATCCTATTTGAAAATTGTTGTTAAAGTGTATTATTCTCCTTATTTAACGTACGAGTGTGATTTTGTCGCTCTACGTTAAAATTACTTTCTTCTTCGCAGGGCTGTTTGTCATAATAAACCCAATAACATGGGCAAGTAATATTCAGGTGATTGATAAAGCTGCTCAAGTTGGTCCTATATGCAATATATACTTGCCACAGGACATGCATGTAAGGGGCGACTAACGGGATCGGATGGTCAGGATCGTTGACTTGGTTGATGCATCATATTATGATGTCAGTCACTGGATTGTCTGGTCCAGACTCGATTATGAACAGACTGCCGTCATATAGCTGGAATATTGCTGAGTGAGGCGTTAAACAAAAAAACCCAAAAAACTGAGAGGATGCCAAAGCGCTCAGAAAGGCGAATGAAGAAACTTAATGCACCGGATGGTTTGTGGTACTGTATTCTAAAGGTGCTCCGGCTTGATGACTAGGTTGATGTCGTCGTACCCGACAACGTGGGTCGTTGCTCATGATATCAATCATCAGATGTTTCTGGTCCATACTCGATTATTTACTGATGGAGTATTGCGTAACTGCAGCGTTAAATAAACAAGCAAACAAAACACTCCTTCCTGCAGGCCTTTAGAGATCCGAGGAGGTACCATTTAGATTCTAGCTGTTTCGTTTCGCAATCAACTCACATTCAACTTTTGTGTAATGCTTCAGTTTTCGAAGATTGTTGCTGTTATTTACCGCCATATTAATGTCATCCTTAATTTGCAAGGCAGTTGTTAGATTCTACATTGTTCCAACTGAAGTAACCGCACAGGTGAAACGCTTGTTTACTAGATAAAGCGGACGTATAATACTGATAGATCCAGTTGTTAAATGTACTGACGTTGAATATTTCATAATACACTGGAGGGAAAGGAGTATTCTCACTAAGTTTAGTGACGGTGTGTGACGTGCAGCCGAAGACAGGTCCTGTTGCATTACGGGTGTGATATAGACTAAACAGAAGGTCTTCTGTTCAGGAAGGGGTAAGTATGTATGTACGCACAGTGCTAACGTCGAATATTTTATGTCTCTTCGTGTAATTGCAACAGTCAACTCGCACCCCAGTAGCAGTGTTTTGTTGTCGTAAGGGGAGCCTTGTCCGCTACTTCACAGGCATACATATACTGGTCAAGTATAAGTCTGTTTAAAAGTAAGCAGGTGAAATAACGAAAAGTCCATAGTCTGTAGTTAAAAAGTTGACAGCAATGCAATCTCATTAAAATCAGATCTTAGTTCTTGCTACCGCTCAACAAAAGATTGAAGACATCCCATTACGGGTTATGTCAGACCAAACCTTGCGCAAACTTTGACAGACAAATTGAATGACCAGTCAGAAGGCAGCTTTCTTGTGCTTTACGGCACTAATTTCAAATTGGCGACTACGCTTTGAAACATATTTTGACAAATTCTCAATTACAAATTTGAAACCTGAACAAAAGAAAATTCTCGAATGGCAAATAGATTGGCTAGATTGTATGGATTCAGTCGTTAAACCCATAACTATCGTTGGGAATAAAGTTTTTGAGGTTGCATGATTAGAAATCACATTTCTACTGTCACTTTCATAATCTGGTAAGCCATGCTCTGACTGGTCGGATGAAAGGTTGTTCTGACGTGACCCCTAATGGGATGCCTTCAGATCTTTGTTTAGCGGTAGCGAGAACTAAGGTCTGATTTTAATGAGATTGACAGCAATGCAGATGTACAATGCCCAATTGTTGAACCTTGCAGTTCAGTGGAAAGTGTTGCTAGTTTAGTATGAGTTGTGCAGGTTTCGCCAAGGCTATGATTTGTCTGTTTGTTGTTTAAAGCTGCACTCAGCAATATTCCAGCTACATGATAGTGATCTGTATATAATTAAGTCTGAGCCGGACAATCCATTGATTGACATTAAGAGCATTGATCCGCACACTTTGGATACAATGACATGCATCATCCCAAGTCAGTGATCCTGACCACCCAATCCTGTTTGTTGTCTCTTGACAAGCATAGCTAGGGTGCTTTGGACCTATATTCTTTCACGGAATCCTCACTGATCGAAGGGTATGAAAGTGGAAGTTGTCTTAATTCACTACATATCTTTTTAAGAATCATGAGCACAGTTTAAGGAGTCAAACTACACTAGGGATATATGCAACTTCATTATATTAATCATCACTTCCACATTTCCTATCTCATGCACTGACACTTGGAGCATGCAATTAAACAGCCCCACATACCTTATTTATAAACTTATGCCAGTGTAAGGTATGAAACATAAGTTCTTACCCACTATATGGGCAGATAAAGCCCTGTTCTTCAACATCCTTCCATCCAGCCACTCAGCAATTCCTTTAGCCTTCCAATCCACTAATCCATTCCTCTTTGTACCAATCCAAACCACTAATCCATTCCTCTTTATCCTTCCAACCCACTAGTCCATTCCTCTTTATCCTTCCAACCCACTAATCCATTCCTCTTTATCCTTCGAACCCACTCATCCATTCTACTTTATCCTTCCAACCCACTAATCCATTCCTCTTTATACCAATCCAACCCACTAATCCATTCCTCTTCATCCAGAATTTCCCCCCCCCCCCCCCCCCCCCACACACACACATGCACGCACGCACGCACGCACGCACGCACGCACACACACACATATATATATCCTGCTAATCCATAACCTTTTTATTAGCAGTCCCACTCCACTAATCCATGCTATACACATACTCGCCCGTGAAGAGATCACCCGTTTAATAACCATAGCCATACAGCTGTATTACACATTGTGTAATACCATAGCGTGTGCTTATCTACTGAGAGAACAAGTTTCACAAACAAATATTGAAAACTTCCCAAATCCCAGGGCTTTTATGGTGGCATTGCGTGTAGAGATGATAGAAACACTGAGAGGACCTTATGCTTATGCTAGATGACCCAACAACCCCAATGACACTGCTCTGTTGCTAGGCTGATGTCACATGGCATTGTTTTGCTGGTGGATCTTGCAACAGGAATCCACTAATTTCATCTTAGGTCATTCTGAATTCTGAAGGTAGGCCGTTGTATGGAATTAAATAATATGTGTCAACTTCCTAGTATTACTCTTTTAAAGTCTCCTTTGGATTATGCTGTGGATAGCGTACATGCCTGCCAATTCACAAACGACAGTGAATTATTAAAAAAAGAAGGTTATAAATGGCAAGTAATGAAAAAAAATACTAAACTCACTCTCGTGTAATACCAATTTTATGAAACGAGAGAATATGTCAAATGTTTGGGGTTTATTTCTATATAAGATTAACAAGTATAGTTATTTGATTAATTTATAAACTAAATGATCCACCTATGTCACTGTGATAAAGATTGTGTATGGAAATTCATGTTGCTGCTTGTAATCTGATTGCTGGTTCTCAA